CGCGGAGGCGCCGGGCGAGGCGCTGTACAGAGCCGAGTACTTGGGCTCCACGTGCAGGCTGCCGCCGTGCGGCATGCTGAACGCCTGCTTGCTGTTCAGGGACATCATCATCATCTTCCCGCCCGCCGGGGCGCTGGACCGCAGTGCACTCACTGGCCCCGACTGCCGGGACCCTCCCGAGAAGTGCCAGGCGGAAGCCGGAGCCGAAAAGGGCAGAGCGAAGTTGCGCTCACCAGCCGCCGCCTCCTGGTTCCGTGCGCCTAGTCCCGGCTCGGCGCTCCTCCCGCGCCTCCGAGGTCAGTCTGGGCAGGTGCCGTCAAGAAGCGCCTGCTCCAGCTCGGTTTCTAGCGTCGCCCCTTCTCCCTTTGCTCCTTTCTGCTCCCCCGGCACCCGTCTCCCGCTTCCCCGCCGCGCCCTGCACCTCCCCTTTCTGCCCCCACCCGCTCTCTGCTGCTGCCGCCGCTTCGCGGCGTCCGCCCGGCGGCTCCTCCTTACATTCGCGGCCGGCGACCAACCGCACCCAACAGTCGCCAGGCAGTGCCTACCTAAGGGGCGGCCTCCAGACCCTCCCGCTTCGACTGGGTCTCTGCTTCGCCAGGAGAAGAAACTCCCAAGTAAAGTTGCGGCCCAAGCCAGCTGCGAGCGGGTTTTTTCCCCGGGTTACTTCGAGCACCACTTACCTGGCTGCCTCCTACCCCGCCTCCTGGTTAGCCCAAAGTTCCAGGCCTAGGCCCCCCCGCTTCAGCTCAGGTGACCCTGATCCCTAGCTCCCGACCCCGCCAAAGACACAACCAGGGCTGCCAACCCGGGTTCTCAGCGCCCTACTCTGCGCTCCCGCCCTGATGCGCGCGGAGGTCGGCGTTTGGCTCTGCGCTCCTTCGGCCCGGCAGAAGCCTGGAACCGGAGAGACATGGGGTCGACTGGGCTGCAGGGCTTTCTCTCACTCGATTTCTCGCAGCTCTCAGCGGATTGGACAGCGGAGGAGCCGGCCCGGGTCGCCTGTGCGCATGCGACTCCTCCCCACCCGCCCGACCGGGTCCCCCTCCACACACACACACACATACACACACACACGCACGCACACGCACACGGACTCCTCTGCCCACCCTCTTCTCTTCCTCCCTATTTTCCTCCTCCTCCCTGTACCCAGTACGGGGTAAGTTGGGTCTTGGGAGGCGCCACTGCCACGGATTTATTATTCTTCATTAGCCACAATCAAACGAAGAAGGGAAACTGACAGAGGGAGAGGGAGGGCCAGAAATTACAGAGCGCATGTGCTACTGAATACCACCCCAACACACAGACACACACACACACACACACACCCTCAGGGGCTGGCACAAGCCCCACTTATCTTCATTTCCACAGCCGCTCTGCACCGAGAGCCTATTTTTAGCTGACACTTCGCTCTGACTTTTGTCCAGGTGTAGACCACTTTTCCTAGAAGTGGTTATACACTCTTAGTTCCAGTTGCAAAAGGAAACAGCCTCTCCTACACACACCCACATACACGCGCACACTCATACACATGCACGAACACATCGCCTTTCTCTTTTCCCTCCCATCTTCTACTTCCACGGTGATGGGGGGGCTGCTGTCACCTCCCCGGAGAGCAGAAGCAATGGGGGTGCAGGCGAGGGTGAGAATGTTCCGCGACCCAGACGCAGGAGCCCGTGGGTGGCCCGATCCGGACGGGGGTGACGGGAGCAGGTGCGGGCACTGGGCGCCTGGGGAAGGCGAGCAGGTGCGAGAGCAGGAGGCAGGCCTGAGAGGCGTTGGCGCGCGCTGGGACAAGAGGAGTGGAAAGGGGGCACAGAAAAGGGGAATCTCGGGCAGTTAGCTCCTGGAAGTCCAGTAGCGGCGGGGGCGGCCAGGAGGGGGGCGCCCAAAAAAACACGACAAGTAGGGACCCGCCTGTCCACCCCTAACCTCAGCTCAGAGGGATCAAGTTGGCAGCTCTGTCCTCGGGAGTCACCAGAGTACGGGGACTGCCGCAGCACAGAGCCTGCGGCGGGCTCTGTCCATGGTCCTTAACCCGTACAGCCTTCCTTCTGTAGGCTTGGTCTGGTCTTTCTTTTCCCTAGATTGGAGGAAGATAAAAGATAGTGGCCGACGGGGATTCCTACGAGTGATCCCGCGTGTGAGTTCGGAGAAGCCTGGACATGGGACTGGGGGCGGGGGGTGTTGACATTGAATGGATGTGGCTTGTGCCGGATGGTTCAAGTGAGTGCTTAGGTGTTTAATTTCTACCTCAACAACAGCCAGGGTAATTTTCAAGGAAATAAAAAAAAATGACATTGTACAGCTCTCACTGTCTCAAGCTTTGAGAAATGAAATAAATCAAAGTTAAAAGCTTGAGTATCATTTAATTATAGTGCGAATAGCGCTTTGAAAGAAGTAGAACAACATCTCTAAACAAATTATGACTGGGCCAGGAAGGAATTATTAGATTGAAATTTCATTTAGGCTCGGGAGACACCGCGCTTCACTGTGTAATCTGCTATGCCTCATCTGATTTGTATGCTTAATTCAGCTTGACGAATTTATTAGTTTTCATAATAGTGAAAAAATTGAGCAGCACTATGGGCTAATGCATTGTGTGTACTATAAATTGTATGCCATCGCGGTAAGGCTGAAGTCTATAGAAATCTTTTATTAATGTCGGTATAAGAGGGAGGATTTTCATGCAAGCCTTGGAGAAGCTAATGCCCAAACTCCACCGCAATCTCCTCTCACTGGTTCATTAACATATCGTCATACTAATTAGACTACTTCATCAGTGATATAATTTCAAACTTCGAATTATGTTCTAATTAACATGGGTTGTCCAATTTGCTTAATCTTCAAAAGGCTGTGGATGGTGTAATTAATATAAACTGTTGAGCATCTCAAAAGCCTAATAAAAATCCATGACAAATGTTTTGGGTGTCTTTCCTGTCAGTACTGTGCAATGGTCAAAGGGAGAGGAGAGGGAAAAAAAAAAAAACTGGAAGACAAACATCTCCATCCACCTAGTTCTCTCAGATTATTACAGTCAGTGAATCAGAGCAGAAACTTTGGAGTATTTGCAACTCCTAAATAGTGTGCTTATGTGTTTAAATAAAGGCACAAAAAAAATATCAGGAAGGAAAACCACATGGGGAAAAATTCTTCTCTTTCATTAGGTGCCTAATTAGATGTAAAATAAAAAGCAACCCTGAGGAGTTTCCCAAGCATTATTGTGGCAACAGTCTGCTGAACTTGAATTGCAAAATCAAATATTTGGGGTGTTTTGAACCTCTCTCTGTCCCCTCCCCCTTCATTGAGCTTAATTACTTGCAATAGTTGTTTTAATGTATGTTGTCACCTGGGAGTCTTGAGAAATGCATATCGTTAATATGAATTAATCTTGATTTTAATAGCAACTGACAACTGATCTCCAAAATGCTAAACACTTGTCACCACTTCATATGGTAAATAAAGTAATACAATAAATTCATGGATGTAGAGAGGGCACCTTTGAAAGGACTGGACAAACTTTGATGTGGAATTTATTGACCGAAACTATTTTAAGGAAGAACATTCCCATGAGAATATTTTGATGACTAAAACCCATACATCACTAAATGAATCTTAATACAACTTTTTTTTTTGTCTCTCAGCTATATCTCAATGATATCTCTAATTCTAGACAGGGGAGGAAAAGAAGGAAGCCATCATTTTCCAGTTATCAAGTTAAGGTTCATTACCTTGTGAGTGTAGAGCAATTCAAGAGTTTATGTACCTGTATTTTTGTCCCCCCCCCATAAAATACAATTTTTAAAAGTCAAGTTACAGAGGTAGATTCTCCTTTTCCCACTCAAAGTGAAAAACGAACAACAGTGATTGTGTTGCATCCGAGGAAAAATGCAATTCTTTCTTCATCACTTGCAATCTTCAAGACTTGCAATCTTGCAATCTCTCCTTTCAGGAGTGTCCAGAATGCCAACGTCCTTGCGGTGACATCAATAAAACCCATTGCAGTTGTGCCCACAGGCGTTGCTGCATACTGCTGAAATGTAGGGTAGAAGCCACTGTCTAGGAAGGACGGCTCCAGCCCCCTGTCTGCAGAGGCCATCTAAACGACCAGAAAGAAAGTTGGCCACAAACCCAAGGAGGGGAGGCAATGGGCCCAGTTCCGAAACCTGTTTCCTAGGACTTAGACACCCTTTTGTTGTCCAAGCCCTTATCCACACAGTACCTGTGCACACCTGCAGACCTACCTAGTTAAAACAGAAAAGTGATTTCTTAAAAGCAGAGAGAAATGGATCAGCATGACTGCAAGGGAGTGCTTCTCTTCTTGCCAAGCTTCTTTGTTTGACAATAGCTTCTGTCCCATCTGTGGCAGATGTGAGCAGACCTCCCTCAGTCGAGGAAGAGTCCTGAAAGTCCATAGAAGATTCAGGGGGACAGTGAGGTCCCCATAGTAGGGACCCCACCACCCAGAAATCGGCCCAAGCCTGAAGCCATCCCAAGGGAAGACATCACTGTCTCCTCTTTGTATCTGCATCCTAATTTACTATTAAAATTTTAAGCCATGCATTCATATTTTACTGGACCTAATGTGTTTTATTAAATTTTAATCTATTAAGGGCAGTGTGATTTCTCTGTATTTCAAACAGAATTGAAATAGACTACAAGAAACATTGCTTAAAAGACAGATCTGGCCCTATTCGAGCTGGGGTTGCTAGACGAAAGAGGGAAAGA